CGCCCCCGCCGCCCCCACCCCAACTCTTCATGCTTTGAAGCCTTTTAATAGAAATTCCACAAAGGATTGCCCTTGTTTATGTGTATAAAAACAAACCTGGTCATTCCCGGAAGCAGGTGATGGGAACAGAGGGTGCAGAGCAGAGAGGACACAAACACTTCTAAGGACATGTCCCGCTCCTCCCACCTGACAGGTCACTCTGTGGTGAAGACTCAGCAGATTGGATGGAACAGAAGACCAAGGGCAGGGAGGGCTCCATAGGCCTCAGGCAACTCAGAAGCAGAGTAGGGATTTAAACCCAGCTATTATAATCCACCTGTTGCCCTCATAGCTTTTAATAACACCCCCTCTTCACACTCAAAAGTGTCACAGTTTGGACAATACATTATGCTGTCACCCTCTCTTGACCATGCTGAGCAGTGGAGGAGGACGACAGGGAATGCAGAGGAAGTGGAGCCCTCTCCACTCACCTTCCCAGCAGGCCCCTGGGCTCTCCCTCACCCCTGTGGGTACCAACACATCTGGCCCAGCCTCCATTGTCCAAGATGCCAGTTGGCTCACAATGGCCATGGTGCTCCAGTGTGTACTTCCTGTTTGGGGGCCTCTGTCTAGTGAACTCTGGGGTCCAGAGTGCAGGGAGTGGGAGCTCCAGATTTACTGAACACATGGCCGTAGGCAGGCAGGCCCAGACCCACAGCCCCACGGTTATAAAGAGTGAGTCTGAAGATGAGCAGCCTCGAGCAAGATGGGGGAGCTGGTCCACCACAGTGAGGAGGAATCTTTCCACGTCTAGTCTTGTATCTCATTCCTGGAAGGGTGGCACTGGAGGCAGGGGAGTTCTGCCCAGTGCCCATCTTGTCCCATCTGTGCTGTCAAGTCTCAAGGAAAGAGGCTGCCACAGCTGGAAATTCTGGGGCTTCTAGGATGTAGGTCATTTGGCATCTGTAGCTGGTGAATTTCAGGTCTCTGGCATCCCAGCACCCCACCATCCTTGAGACAGGTCGAGCGATCCAACACCTTCTCCTTTCTACCCTGTAGCATCCAGAGGGGTTGAGAATCTGGCCATCACAGGTATCTTTCAAAGAGTCTGGGCTCAGAGCAAGAGGGAAGAAGCCAGGGCCGAGGTCAAGGGACCACTCAGAGGATCAGCCTGGCTCAAATGCACCTGTCCCAGGCTCAGCCACAGCTGCCCATTGGCCCCCAGCTGGTCTAGACAGTCTCGCAGTTTGGGGAATCAGGGACAGGGTCTGCAAAAGAAAAGAGATGCAGAGTGAAGGTGGCGGGGTGGGGGGGGCGGGGGCGGTCTCCTCTGCCTTCACCCTCTAGCCCCACATCAGGAGGCTGTGAGGACTCCCCAGGGAGGGTAGGGAGTGAGGCTGATACCCCGCAGGCCAAGGAGAAGTCATGACCTCTCAGGCCATTGTGCTGAGAGGGTTGGGAAGTACTCACCTAGTGATGGAAAGAAGACATCCCCTGGGCCTGGCGGAGACAGAGGAGTGCTGGGCTCAGAGAGCAGGTGCCGCCCAGACTCAGAAGGCTGCCGCTGGGCCACATAGGACAGTGGGAGCCTGGGCTTGGCCTCCGGCATCCCCTGAGCAGGTGGAGAGCCCTCAAAGCCAGGGTTTTCAATTCCTTGAGCATTACTGCCAGAGAATCAGAACCAAAGGTCATCCGTGCGGCCTGGAGTTTGGGCCTCTGCCCTCCTCCTGCCCTACTTCTCTCTTCCCTCCCACTCCAAGGCCTCGGCAGCCTCCCCCAGCAGGAAGGGAGGAGCCAGAGCCAGAGAGAAAAGGCCATGGGCTGCACTGTCCCACCTGCCCAGAGCTGAGGGCATCTGACTGCCACTCCACCCTATGGTCTGACCATCTGCCCTGGGCCCTGCTAGGAAGCCCAGGGTCAGAAGCGCTTCCAGGAGAATAGCCTGAGGAATCTGGGGACAAGTTTCTCTTTGGTCAGTAGAGTCAAAGGCATTAGGATTGAACATCCCCATAGTTGGTCTTGAGCTGAAGGGAGGGGTTCTCTTTTCTTCCCCTCTTCCCTCTTGGGAGTGGGACAACCCCTAAGACTCCTCCAACTCTGGGATTCTAGCAGGATCGCTAGCAGGACTTCCTTTGACCTGTCTCGAAAATCATCCCTTTCAAACACCCAGAGGAGCTCTGAGTTTGGTGTTGCAGCTACCAGTGGCTCGTTCTTGAGCACACCCTCCAGGCCAGGCTCCATGCCAGCTTCCTGACCAGGGTGCACCAGCACATACTCCCCTATTCTCTCCACCCCCGACCTGCTGCCCCACTCTTAGCCCAGTCAGCCTCTGCCTTTGTGGCCTGCAGTGGCCTGACAGCTTTCTCCTTGGAGTGCCCTGTAGGGAGGGAGGAGCCACAGATCAAGGTGTGCTGGCCTCCTTTGCATGTTTCAGTATCTGCCCAGCTCAGCTGCTTCCTCCCCCTCCCCCACCTCAGCCTACTGACCACTAAGGTTCGAAGGTGGGTACATGACTTATCCAAGTAGCCTCAGAGCTCTGCCTGCTGGGTGAGGGGTAGCAGGGAGAACAGCCAATTGGCTGGCACAGATTGTAGGCCTCAGTGGCAGATGCTTTTCTAACCAGCTGTGCTAGGCAGCTAAACAGGGGCCCTACTGCACAGAAATATTGCCGTTCACTATGCTGGCCCAGGGAGGAGCAGGGAGGAGCAGGGAGGACCAGGGAAGCCATGTCTTTGTTCTGACCCCTGTCATGTTACAACCAGATACCAGGGAAGAGAGGGGAAAGGATCCTGGTAAAGGGGGAGAGTCAGTCTGTCCTGGCTAAAAGTTACCTCTCTTCCTCCTGCATTAACTCCAGCTACAGTTTGGGTGTAGACATTGCCCTACAGAGCCACAAGCCCGGAGAGGCAAGCTTTGAGCTGGGGGAGGCGGGGGGCAGCTGCAGGAAATTTTCTCCGAAGGGTCTTCACGGGCCTTACCTGTCCATCCGCACCAGCTCCTGGGCACCTAGGGACAGACAGAGAAGCTGACTACAAAGGGAAGGCTTCCCCAGACAACATCCCTGCCCTGGCTGGCAATGCCCTTGGGGGAAGTCAGAGGGGCCCAGGCAGGGTCATGCTCAGCCCTGGATCCCATTCCTGTTCATTCTGGAGACCCATTCGCAGTCCTCTGCGTGTTTACCCAGGAAGTGAGGCCTCAGCGAGCAGCCCATTTTGACCAGAGTGACAAATGAAACTCAGGCTGCCTTTTACAACTGTGTACGACGTCTGTCACCTGGAGACCGAAATGCTTTTTCCTATGGCTTGACTTAGGCGATGTTAGACCTTCAGAATTTAAATACCAACCAAAGGCCTGGCTCCTGAATTTGCTGTTTCCTGTTTGGACATTTGCCAGGGTCTGGTCTTTAGCCATGATTTACCGGGTGGGAGTGTTGCAAGGTCATTTCCTAATTAGAGGGTTCCTGGGCCTCTCTGTGCCATCCTCCACGTTGCACAATAGGGTGGCTTCAGAAGTGCCATCCCTTACAGGAATCTTAGGGGGCCTGAGACCCTATCACTTCTCAGCCATTCCACCACTTTCTTCTCCTCGTCCAAGAGGCTGCCACCCTGCCCCATTCTTGAGGTTCCCCACCCCCCAAACTGGACACCGACCAAATTCAGCGGCCCCAACTTCCCTCTTTCTTGCAGCTCCCCCAGGTACCCCCACAGATCCTTCTCGTTTTTAAAGAGCTTCTCTGTTGATTACTATGGGGAAACAGATGGTGGGGGAGGGGCACAACAACAGAACATATGGGGAAGTTGCACAAAAGTTCTTGAAATCGCTCTGGTCTTGGAATCATGGCTACGGTTTACCAGGGACTCCTGTGCGTCGGGCTCTGTGTGGGAGCTCCACGGTCCCCCAGCGCATCTCCACCCTTTGCGTAAAGATCGGTGGTCCCACTTGAGAGCCGGAGAAACCAGTCTCCGTCTCGTACTGCCTAGGTTTCCACACCCACTGGCCTCTGCACCGAACGTCCTTCCTCGGTGCTCTCACCCCTTTCTCTTTCTTTCTTCCTGAGTGGGGCTCAGCCCAGACCATGCCCTCGGTACCGGGCTCCAGGCCACTTGGCCTCTGTCCTATGACCAGACTCCTGGCATTTCTCAGGTAATTTCTGTTCCCTTAATTCCAGCAACTGCTTCTCTAGAGTCTAGATGAAGAAAAATGACCAAAATCTCTGCTCTCTCTCTCTATTTCATACCTGATTTCTCTAGGAGTGTCCCCTCTGGCATTTCTTGTCTGTCTCTAAATACTTCAATCATACGATTCATTCTGCCTTTTTTTTTTTTTCTTTTTTTTTTTTTTGAGAGGATGAGGGAACTGGCCTCAAAAATACTTTTATTAGAAGATAAATTATTCCTTTCTGTTACCGCATATTAAATGTGGGGGTAAGGTGCTATGAAGTGGCCCCATCACAGGAACGGGGTTCATTTACAGAGTTTCAGAGGATGTTCTCAACATTGGTCACAGCACAGCCCATCAGCCCACTGTACCCGCTGCTCCCTCTTTCAGTCTGGTTCTTCAGCATCCAGCTCATCCGTCCCTTCCTCTGGGAAGCCCGCACACTGAAGGTATCCCAGTGCATGGAGTAATACTGGGGGCTGACTCCAATTTCCCCATGTCATCAAGACACCCCCCACAGTGTTCTGGCCTGATTTTTCTTGCTCCAGCCTGGGACATGGGCAAGAGCCTTGGATCAACTTCTGGGGACTCTGTGAGGAAGGCTGTGAAGCAACAAAAGCAGGAACAACCCCCTCTCCACTCCCAGCCCCACTCCCCCACCCCTACCCTCCCACCCTCCACCCCTGCAGCCCAAAATTTGTTTTCTACTTCCTATTCCCTGATGGAGGCAGCACTGTTGTCTGGAGTAAGGGGGACAGAAAGCACTCTTGATCTGGGAGCCAAGCCTAGCTAAGCCTGTGTCCCTCCTCATCCCTTCCCCGCCTTCCACTGAAATGCCACATGGATGAGCAAGAGCTGACTGGCAGCTCTGCAGCAATTTCTCTTCCTGGTTGAGTCCCTAGGTTCCTCTTTCTGCCGCAATCTCTTTACCTGCCCCCCCACCCCGCCCCTAACCAAGAAGATTTTTGTAGGTAGGGTGTGGTGAGTTTTGTGAGAGGAATATGGATGTCCTGAGACTAAGGGAGAGGTGGCCACAGCCCCTGAGTGATCGACTGTGGAGCTCCAGAGTGGGCCCACAGGAGACCACGTGGGAACCAAAAGGCCTCTGGTGACAGAGCGGTGCTCCCTCGGTTACCTTCTGCAGCTGGCAGAAGGGAAGAGGCAGGGGGAGAAGCAATGCAAGGGCCAGAGGCAGAGCACTCAGACTGGCCAAGTCCTATGGGTGGGGTCAGAAGAAGGGCAAAGGGCACTGTCACCTGAAAAGGACTATGCGAAGGTCTTTGTAGCCCTGACTTGAAGCCCGGCTCCACCACTTACTCCTTAAGTGTATTACTTAATCTCTGTGCCTCAGTTTGCTCAGCTGTAAAATGGAAACAGTGGTAGGACCAAACTTTTGGAGTCATGATAAGGAGTAAGTGAGAGAATGTGTGTAACAAGTTTGGCATGGTTCCTGACACAGCCACCTTGCGAGTGAGGGGTTATTGACGACACTCATGCTAATGAGTGTTTTTATTATGTGGTGGGATTATATTCTCTGAAAAAAAAAGTGAGTTGAAAGCTTTGAGTTCGAGTCCCAGCTCTGCCATTTACTAAGTTAAGTAACTTTGGGTTAGTTATTCAACCCTGTGGATCTTAGGTTTCTCAGCCAGAAAAGGAAAGAGTTAAACTAAGTTATTTCCAAGATCTCTCCCCATTCTGATCATCCAAAGGTCATTTTTGTCCCAATAATTGCGATGCTAATAACAAAACAAGCCAACCTGTACATTAAAACAGGTCTCCAAAGGACCTCTGAGTGGCAGCATTTTTATAAATCAATTTTAACTGCTTTCTGTGATTACTCATTCATCAACAGATATTTATTGAGTGCCAAGCCAGCACTGCTTGGGGCTTGTGGGCACTCAGGCCCCAAAAATGGCATGCCTGGGTCCCCTCCTCTCTCTGCCATTGAGCCCAGCTCCTTGCTGGGACTGCTCCTATCTCTGGAATAGAGAGGACTCGTGCCTGCCTCTTGCCTTTGCTAATTGCAGGGGCTGAGCTGGCAGCTGGGGTAGGTCATTTACACCCCGACCCATCCCAGGAGGGCAAGCATACTCACGGCGGTTGGAGGCCACCTGCCTTTGCTTATAGACCAGGAGCAGGATGAGGGGAAGGCAGAGGATGCCCACAATGCAGGCGCCTGTAGCCAGGGCAGCAGCTGTGATGTCTGAAAGGGCAGAGAGACAGCCAAGGTGAGGCCCTATTCCCACTGTTCCTCCAGAAGGGAAACAGAAGCCCGAAGAGGGAAGGCCAGGCAGCAGTGGGACCCACCTTTACCCAAGCCTCACAGCCAGACCCTCAGTGACCGTCAGAGGCACGGAAGGTCTAGGGGCCCCCTTTAAAAGAAAGCCCCATGCCTCCTCCTCGGGTGGGCCCAGAGCATACAGAAATGAGGCCAGGCACTTACGGCCGACGGGTCGTCGTTATTCAGCCCACTGGAGACAGCTCAACTGCCCTGGGCCACAGATCGTCCCCTGAGAAGGGAGAGCAGGCCCTTCACAGACCTCATGCCACAGAGTTCAAAGTCAAAAGGAGCCCAAGTAATGAAAAACTTTTGGAAATAGTGGTGATAGTTGCACAACCTGTGAGCATAATTAATGCCACTGAGTCGTACAATTAAAGATGGTTAAAATGGCAAATTTTATATGTTTTACCACAATAAAAATAAGTGAATGAAAAGCCCCACACATCTTCTAAAAACTCCTTAGCTCCACAGCAGAGCCTCTGCAAGTGATCTTATATATACGAGTCATGGGGCGAGAACTGGAGAAATGTGAATCTTGTCTGACATTTAAAAACGTTAAACTTTCTAAATTACAAAAAAAAAATGTATAAGTTAAAAAATATATTTCAAAGTTTCCTCCTCCTCCTCTACCCGGGCCCCCTCCAAAGAGATAATCAATGTCCGTGGTTTTCTTGTGTGTGGTCTGGATATGTCCCCTGCATATACAGTATGTATGTGATATGCTTTTCATGTGACAATGCTTTTCCCACTTAGCGTAGCTTGGACATCTCTCTGTATCGTTCTGCCCAGGGCTTTATCATGGGGCTCACCCAAAATTTATTGAAAACAGTTCCCTATTGGTGGACATGTAAGTCGCTTCCATATTTCAACATAACTGATAATGTAGCAGTGAACTCCTTGTGTATGCACCTCTGCTCACCTAGGGAAGTACATCTGTACATAAACTAGCAGTTGAAGGTGCTGAGCGAAAAAGTATGTGCATTTTCTTTTCATCTATTGCTAAATTAATTGCCTTCTGAAAAGGTTAGCGTGAGAGGCTTGCTTTATTTCAATCCAATCTGCTGACTCTAGGAGTTTATCTGGGAACAGATGCAAACTCAGAACCACAACCATCGTAAATGCATTTCCTTCCCAATTTTGGCCTTTCTCACAGGATGGGCTGGGATATCTTGTCAATTTGGCCCTAAGGAGCTTAGGAAAGGTGGATGGGCTGTGGTCTCAGCGTTGCCTTTGCTCTACTCATTTGGAATAAGGGCTGTTTTTGTCTCGTTGCATTGCTAAACAATCCGATGTTGTAAACAAGCTTTCAGAGGGGTGGTTCACACCGCAGCAGAGAACAAACTGTCTTTAGGCGCTTTAGAAGTACCCACTGGTGCAGGGAACAGTCGCTATGCTAATTAGAAAGCAAGTTCAACCGCACATTAAAGCAGGCTCCCTGGCAGAACTCAGCAAGGCTGCATTTTGACGTGGAATATTGAAAGTAAAAACATTCTGTAATTCAGACATTCAAGTATTTCTAAACCCTGTCACAGTACCTTATTGTGGGTACTATCAGAGAAGCAGGTTGCAAAGGGTTCTTTTCTAGTCATCAAAGCCCGTCTCTGGACTGATACTAAGCAACTTTTGATGAGGTTAGTCAGGTGCTCACTAATTCCGGCTCCCTGTTGGCCCGACCTCCCTACCCCCACTCCTGTCCTCAGGCAAAAATTGCCCATCTGCAGCTCCTCTAGGGGATCAGGACTTTGTTTCCTTACAATCTGGGCTAAGAGTTAAGGCTGGAAGGGGGATTTGGGGACAGCTCTGTGGACCCAACTGCCATCTGAATCCTTAGACTCCTCTGCAGATCCCAGCCTCACTACAGCTTTCCACCCCTCCCCACGGGCATAGCCAGTAGTACCTAGCGGATAGGGGTCATGCCAGTAGCCATCCAGAGCCAGGTTCATCCTGGGAAGGTGCTCAAGGACTGGCAGAGGCAGCTGCCAGGCCAGCATCCAGGACTGTGCCAGGCCCTTAGCAGGGTGGGATGGGATAGGCCACCCTACTCTGTGGATTTTTTGTTCCAGGCCTGCCAGTAGTACCCTGTGGGTATATATGGAGAAGAGAGTTTGGCTGGGCTGCCTGGCTCCCCAGGGAAGGGACTAGATAAAAAGCAAACCAAAACATTCTGTGTTGCCTGGATAGGGAGATTGCTTCAAGGGGAGGGGAAATGGGCTGCCCAGCCCACTTCCCTGGACTCCGTGATGAAAAACCACAGCCCCTCACCAATCAGGACTCCTGGGGCACCAACTTCCTCAGTCTTATTCCTCTCTTGTCACCTCCCCCAACCTCAGAATGACTTGGGCTTTCAGATGATCTCAGAGATCAGCTACCTTCCTAATTTCCAAAGATAACATTAGGAGACTGGGGTGCACTTAGAGGAGGAAAAATCAAAGAGCTTCTTGGCTGGAAGCCTCATTAGCTGATAAGTAGTACCAAAGCACCTGTCTTAGAGCAAGGACTAGAATCTTTCCAAAGGTAAGTGGCAGTGGAAGGCGGTACCCAGCAGCCAGCTCCAAGGCCCACTGAGCATCTGAGTCACCAGGCAAATATTTCTAAATCATTAGAAAACAGGGTATGTATCCACTGTCTTCTGCTATCTACTTGCCATCCCCCCTTGGCACAAGGGAATGGATAAGTTTACTTGGGAAGCCAGGCCTAGAGATCTGCATTAGAAGTAATACCAGCCAGCACTTAATTCAGCACTTATTCTGTGCCAGGCATGGTTCTTAGCACTTAACATATAGAACTTCATTTTAGCCTCATAACAACCGGGGAAGTGAGTACAATTATAATCATTTCTGTTTTATAGATGAGAAAACTAAGGCACAGAGAGGTTAAGCAACTTGGCTGATTTCAAGGTCTGTGCTCTTAACCACTTCATCACACTGCCTTTCACTAGAGTGGACTCAACATTTTAAACTGAGAGCTCATGTAAAATATGGACTTTTAACTTTGCTTGAAAATTCAGTGGCTCTGAACTCCCCTCCTGCACTTATAGACTGGCAGCTGGGTACTAGCCACAGTCTCCACCCCTCCCTACTACCTTATTCACCAGCTTCCTGACCCTGGAGGCATTTGAGTTTTTGATCCCCCAATCAGCTCTTTGAGAAAACACTGATTTGTTCCCATCAGTAGGAAGGGGCACACTCTCTCCTGTTTCTCAGTGTACTCATGATACCTAGAGAATGGACATGCTGTCCAAAACCCCCACACAGCACCCAAAATGATAGCTGTGTTTCTTCTTATCTGAGACGACGTCCACCATAGTGCCAAGCCTCGCCTCAGCTATAGTCTCCAGATCTCCAGAACCAAGAAACTGGAAGGAGATTGGAAGGGGGCTCCAGAAGTCATTGAAGCCATCCCCCTGCCCTCAATAGCTGGGACAGAAGCAAACATGTCTTTTTGGCCCTTAGGGGGTCAATTCATTGTTGACAGTAAGTAGCTCAGGGAAACGGGCCAGAGTGAGGCTGCACATCCCCGTGAACTGGAGAGGAAGGAAACGTTAAAACCTGAGAGTAGAGGTGCCCAGCAAAGGAAGCCTGACCTACTTTTGGCAGTCAGGTTCAAGGTGCTGCCTCACCCTTGGGCTCTTATCAGCCAGATTTCATAGATTTCCCAGGTGACTTCTGTTCCCTGAATTCCAACAGCTGCTTCTCTAGAGTCTAGATCAAGAGAAATGAACCAAATCTCCATCCCCTTTCAATTTTGTACCTGCTTTCTCTAGCACTGTCTACTCTGGCATCTCTTGTCTCTGTCACTAAGACTAATACAACTAATTTTCAGAAAACCAATGTTAACAGAGCGGGGGGCAGCCCAGCACTCAGGTGGGGTTTGCACACTGAGAATCAGGTGCTCTGGCATCTCGGCTCTGGGTCTGAGACACTAAGAGACCGTCCCTTCACCTGCCTGAATCTTACTTTTCCTACCTGTGAAATGAAGGCAGTGGCAGAAGTCTCTGAGTGAGCTCTGCAGGAGGAAGAAGTGGGACTGGGGGAGTTGCTCATGGTGGAAGGAGCAGTGGAGAAGTGAACACTCATGTGCACCCTCAGGTGCAGCTCACCCCGGCCTGTACACAGGCACACGCGTGTGCACGAAGTCGTGAGACCGCTGCGTGGGAAGGAAGGAGATGCTCAGAGGCCCCCCCTCCACCCTCACCAGGGAGTTGCTGGTGGAGGAAGTGAGGATGGCAGTGGCTTGGTGACAAGTGACGTGAGCTCTGCGGTGCACAGGGATGGGGGCTTGAACCAAAGAGTTTTAGTTCCACGTGGGTCTGGCTCAGACCAAGATGTGTGTTCTAATTTTGTTCCTGGCTAGTCTGCTTGTTGGTTCAAGAAAAAATAGTCTGAGTAGAAAGTCACAGCAGCCCTTGAGCTGGGGTTTGGCTGGGGCTGTAGCCGAGCTGCTCCCTTTCCTGGCTCAGTGTTTGATCATGTGCTCCTGGAGGGCAGGGAGGAAGTCTGCACTTGTGTATCTCCAGGGCCTGGGCAGAGGCTAGTCCACACTAGATGCTCAATAATTACTGATAAATAGAAGGCTGTGGAAGTCAAGACCTATTGTCTGATAAATAGAAGGCTGTGGAAGCCAAGGCCTATTGTCTCAGAAGAGTGGGGGTGCTCCAAAGACATCTCCCCTTTGCCTGCCATCCCCAAGCTGCTGGGCATTATCTCCTGGCCTCTGAGTGCCCAGGTGCACCTTAGGGCAGTGCTCCCTTCCCCCATAGGGCACCTCTCTGGGCAAACACCAGGGGACTGACTGCCACCCACTGCACGTCCACTCGAGCTGAGAAGAAGGCGAAGCGAGCACAACCCCAGCTGTGCTACCCTTGTTGGCTGTGTGAATTCGGGCAAGTTAAGTCACCTCTCTGAACTTCCGTTTCCCATGTATGTAAAATGAAGATGGTGATGCCTGCTTCACAGGGTTTTTATGAGAATCCACTGAGATACCAGCACTTGGAAGGACTTAGCACAGGGCCTGGCACATAGTAGGAGCCCCAGGAAAGGTAGTTCTGTTCTGTTCTTCAGCCTCTCCCTCCTCCCTCCCCCACACACAGAACAAGGAAAATTTAAGTCGAATCCAAGTCAAGAGGAGCCCCCACATCCCTCCAACTTTCCCATGAGGCAGAGGGCTGGTGCAGAGGAGGGGAGCCCACTGAAAAGAAGCTCAGCAGCCTGTGGCACCCAGTACCTGTCATGCGGCACTTGGCCAAAGGTCACTGCTGGGGTATAGCCCCACCCAGGGAGCCCACAGCAGCGACTCTGGGAAGCCGCTCTCTCAGGCTTTGGGTCTTAGAAAGGAAGTGGGCCTCTGGGGGCTGCAGCCCAATGGCTCAGGTGCAGGAGGAAGCAAAAGGGAGGGCAGCAGCAGAGGAGGAGGACAAAGGAGAATAGAGAACCCAGAAGGGGCAAGAGGCTGGTTCCTTACTTTCACTCTCCTTGGGGGAGGGTGGGTACGCAGTGCACTTGGACGGTGTTTCATTGCCTGTGGGCGCAAAGAGAAGGGTTGTTAGGTAGATGTCAGGTCCAGGAGACCAGAGAGGCTCATCCAGGCCCGCTTGCCCCTCTCCTGTCACAGCTCTCCATGCTACTGTTCACTTAGCAGCATCGTTCCAGGAGGAACCTACACAACACCACACCACACCACACCACACCACACCACACCACACGAAACCACACCGCACAACACAACACAACACAACACAACACAACACAACATGCATGCACGCACGCATGCACGCACGTACGTACATATGTATTCTCACCGCACAGCCGGGCATGCCCTGCCCATCCTCATGCCACCCTAATGGGGATACCTACCTGTGCCTACACTTCTGTCCAGTCCACCTCCGCTTGGACTCTTACCTAGACAAGCACACACATACATGTTCCTCAGCGACCATTCACCAACTCACACCCCAGGTCACATTTCACGGTCATGGTGTTGTCAGCAGCAGACATACTCCTAGCCCAGGTTCATACACCATCTCCCATTAAAAAGTCCCACTGTCACAAACCAAACCAAACCATGTATACCCTTCCTCTCTATCACACCCAGCTGACCAAAGAGGCTTACACACAGCTCCACACGCCACAGCCACCTCATCTCACACACACCCCTGCTACCCATATAGCATCACATACTCTTCAACACAGTGTCACACACAATCACACCACCATATACACAGCACCACACCCCCACAGTCACACTGTCCGCTCTGCTTACCCTTACAGACAGGTACAACACACCACCCCCGAGGCTATCCCACACGGGAAGTCCTCACCTCTCTGCACCTGCAGCTCCACGGTACCGTGGACCCTCTGCTCCCAGTGATGGTGCCTGATCTCCACCACAAGGCAGCAATAGATGCCACTGTCCGACGGGGTCAGGTTGAGCATGATGATGGAGAAGTTGCCATGGTGGTCAGAGACTGACTCCAGTCCGTGTTGCTGGGCCAGATCCTGGTTGGTGCCAGCAGCCTGGTGGCTGCCGTGATGTAGGTGAAGGTCCTGGAACGTGAGGTTGCGGATGGGCCGGCGGTCCGAGCAGGCCTGCACCTCGCCCCGTGAGCTGCGGTACCACGTCTTGTAGAAGGTCACATCGTGCTGCCCTTTGGCCACGGGGCCCAAGATTCTGCAGGTGAGGGTGACGTTCTGCCCCTCAGGACACACGTATAAGGAATACGGTGTGGCGACCTTGAAGGCTGCCACCAGACCTGCTCAGAGAGATGAGAACTTGTCACCTACCTGAGCCAGTGCTACTCTCAGTGCCTGCAGAGTGGGGAAGAACCTTGGCCTGGGGCTCCAAAGATGTGGGTTTCCTAGCCGCAGGCAACTCAGCTGACCTCCCTGAGCTTTCATTTGCTCATGAACCCAGCTCCATCCCGGACTTTGTGGGAGGAGCAATGAGAGCTTCCCCAGCTGGGGGATCCCCACCACTGCAGGGAAGCTGGACAAGGAATAGGAGGAACTCCAGGCAGGCAGCAAACTGAGCACAGCCTGGCCCCAGCTCCCATCCCTACTCCCCCACCACTGCAGGAACTGTGGCTCTGCCCACAGCTGGCTCCTGGCACTTCCAGCCTCCATGCCCAGTGCTGTCACACGGGAGGCAGGATAGGAAGCATCAAGGCTATTTGGCAACAGCAGCCCTTTGTCCTGGACCACCCTTCTGGGGGGTCATCAGTAGTACCTTTGGCCCTTCCCACTCCTGAGGCTGGTATGCCTTTCTACCTCATCAGTGAGCACTAACGGAGCTCCTGCGTGTGCCAGGTGCTACACGTCCCCTGGATGCTGAACACATGGCCCTCCCTTGGCAGCTTACAACCAACCTAGCTGGGCAGACAAGGCCTGCATTCATGACAAAGTAACCCCATAGGCTAAAGGGCTAACTGGTGCCAACCTCAAGGCACTTGGAGATGGAAGCACATAGCCTTCCTGGGGATGGCCAGGAGACTTCTTAAAGGAGGGAAGACCTCTAGAGTTGACAAATAGATACGGTTTTAGCACGTAGAGAGGCTGCCCTGGGCCGGGTGGTGGGGAAACAAGAAAACCCATGGTGTCTCGGGAGCAGGGACTGGGAACACATAAGAGGCCACCTCATCCATGCATCTGCCTGCCGCTCAGTCTTTTAAAAATATTTTCTAGTTTATTCTGTTTTCATTAAGCCAATGGAGCAATCCCTAGTCCTCTTTACCCTACCCCAACCTTAGGGGTTAACTGTGTTGACCCCTAAAAGCACTGGTTCTTGAAAACAATGCCGAGGCTGGAGTCCTGGCTCCTCTAGCTGTGTGAGCCTCAGTTTCTCCAAGTGCGCAATGAGAAAAATATTAGCTACAACACAGAGCTGTGAAAGGACTGAAGGATGGAAAGATGAGAACACAAGATGTGAGCTCTAATGCCCTCTGCAGACATAGGAAGGATAGCTATGATTATTATGTTAGAAGTAGTTTAATTTTAATTGACATCTTGGGAGCCGAAGTAGATCAGGCAGACAGGGAAGGAGAGTTTGGAAATATGTACAGAATCCAAACGGGTATGTCCTTTTCATTGCCATTGCCTGAACCCAAGAAAATACTTCCTCCTCCAGACGCCTCTCTCCTACCTGTAGAGAGCATGAGACCCGCCTGGAGATCTGAAAGCCTTGCCAAGTCAGGAGTGATGCAGCCTGGTGTAGCTTTGGAATTGGACTCGCCTGCACTGGAGTCCAATAGCTATGAGATACTTAAACTCTGAGCCTCGGACTCCTCACTGTAAAACAAATGAAACATCTACCTGCCAGAGTTGAGGCAAGGATTACCAATAATTTACATGAAGTACTCTGAAAATGCCTTGCTAGGAGTTGGTGCTTGATACATGGGAACTATACCAGTCTCTAATTCATTTCAGCAATCGAAGAAACAGTTCCCGTGAGTGAAAAGTAGTTCTGCACAATAGAATGGATAAGCCAGCTTCAAAGTCTTTCTCACTAAGGGGTGAATGATAATTTATGATCCAATCTTGGAATACCTGTGTATTTATAGCAGAATGTGGGGAAGCAGCAAAGCCATGGCCCCAAAGAATATGTCTGCAAGGGTGGAGTTTTAGGCCCAAGAGATAAGGAAGACGGACACACAACAGAGGGTCCCAGTCACTCCATCCACATGTGAGAGGGAGCCATGTCTGAGAGCTCCAGATTTATGGAAAGTCATTTGCCAAAGTGAGCAGAGATTTCAGAGTTTCTTTGGAAAGATGCTGGTCTCCTTTTGAAGCACAAAAGCCCAGAAAGGGAAAGTGGTTTGTCTGAAGTTCCAGAGGGTATGAACTCAGAACCTAGAACATGGGGGCTTCAGTTAAAATAGGGTCTGGTTAGAAGAAGAAGAAATAGCATGTATTCTGTGCCATGCTAAGTGCTTTATGGGCATGTCCAATTACCCCTATGGGTAATTAGGGTAATTTCTTGGCCCCATGGACCCTTGACTTTGTGTTTTCTTTCTCTTTCACTGATGAGAAACTGAAGTACAGAGACATTAAGTAACTCATCGAAGGTCACACAGCAAATAAGTGCAAGAGCCAGAATTAAACTCAGGCAATTAGACACTACATTGGGAAAAAAAGTTCAGAAACTGGTAGCCCACAGGCCACACTGAGGCTTCAGACATATTCTATTTGGCCCTTAAAGTATTTTATACTTTTCTTGAGATTGCCAACACTTAAACGACAGGAATTTGACATGAAAATTCTGACTCAGCTTCTCTTTGAAAGTCAGAAGATTAACACAAAATTAGCTTTCCTACAAGTCAGTCATCAGCTGGAGCTGAGTAACAGCTTCCTATCTGGATGGGGCACTGGGGTTTCAGTTTGTCACAGTCCCCACTACTCCCTAATGTTTCCACCTGCCCTGCTTTACTCTCTCACCACATTTTCTTGGCCCCATGGACCCTTGACTTTGTGATCTGTGAGCGTGGCTCCTTGCACTAGCCAGGGAGGGACTCTACTTCCCAAGCCTATCGCCTACAGAGATGACCCTCAATGATCCACTCAAGGTCCTGAGTGACAGCCTGGCAGAGCAGGGACTAACCAAGTCTCCTCCGACTGCCAACCCATTGCTCTTTACCCGCTTGGCACACCTGGTAGAAGAGAAGCCCCAGCTACCCCAGTTTTTTCCCTGACTCTGTCCCTGCCAGCCTGGACTAGCCCTCGTAGGTGTGGCCTCAGAACTATGGCTATGCCAGTAAATGGAGATTAGGAAGTGGCTAGGCAAAGAATCCTCCCAGGTGCTCTCAGGAAGAACAAAATCCCACCCACAGAGCAGACCCTGTTGTTATCTCTGCTCTGTGCTCCCCCGTTTCCTGTAGGCTACATGGCAGCTCCCACTAGCGCCTCTCCCAGTTGGTGCCCCATGTTCCCTTTTCCCAACATCACCTCCAACCCCAGAGCTACTCCAAGGCTGGGGGCCTAGTCTAGATCCAGCAGCATTTGCAAGCACGCACACCCCTTGGGGGCTCTCGGGAGGTGGGGTGGCGGGGAACAGGTAGAGCAGAGGTAGAGGTGGAAGCAAGAAGCAGGGCACAAAGCTGAGCCAGGTGGGGACTCCTAAGGGAACAGAGGCATGGATGGGGTAGGACTAAAATGTAGGCAAGGTGGGGCTAGCTTGTGGGGCGGGGACAGGGTCCAAGCAATGGTGTGAATGACTGCTGAATTGCCCAGACAGCAGAGGGGAGGGTCTTTTCAGCCCTAGAGGTGATTTCCTTGAAAACCCACAGGAGGGCACACGGGGAACTGAGGTTCAGAGATAGTGAGAGGAGGGGCGTTGCTCAATCCCCAACCCCTCATGCACCCCAGAAAGACATCTTTTTTTAGAAAAAGGAGAAGCTAGGATTCAGGTTTAGGGGTGGGGAAGAGTGTTCAGTTTTAGCAAAAGGGCTAGATGGGCGTAGGCCAAGGGTCCACAGGGTTTTGTCCTAGGGAGAGAGAAAACATCCATTTGTTGTGTCTGAAACTCAAGCCAGATCAAGGTCCAGGGCAGCCTGACCTTGGAAGGACATTCAAGGGCAAGGATTTGGGGAAAATAGTTCACATGCCCCACGCCATCCACAGCTGTGCATGCGCACATGTTATTGGGGAATATATATATATATACGTGTGCGTGTGTGTGTATGTATGTATATGTGTGTGTATATATATCTTGGCTGGAATTATAATTATTTGGTGGGAGGATATTGCTTATTGTCAGGAGCAGATCCTTTTGGACACCTGGGTCATTGTGAGAGCCTGGGGAGAATGGGTGGGGAGGAAGGCCCCTGGCTCCAGGGTGGCGGAGAACGTGTCAGACAGGAAAATGACCCTGGGCCTGAGCTTTTGCCAAGGCAGGAACCATCCAGTTACTGTGCTCTTGGGGCTTGGGCCCCCACCCACCATGGACTAAGGAGGCAGAAGCTCCTAGAGGAAAAATATTGTGAACCTGGAAAATTCCAGGTCTCAGGATAAAAACCTTGATCTGGGCCCCTGTCCCCACTTAGCCATCCCTCATCCTTCTCTGGGCCTCCCTTTCTTCATCACATCTTAAGAAGATTCCCCAAGTTCCTAAGCCCTCTCTAGCTCTGAAACCCTGCAGGAGGAGGGAAGGGCTATCTTTCTTCAGGACAGAGGAAGGAGGCAAGAAATGGGCCACAAAGATAATCACAGGTGTTTTGAGCACCTCATGCATTAGGACTTCCTGAGCACTTTATACTCATCTCATTTAGTTCTCATAACACCCCCTGGCATAGGTATTATTATCTCCATTTTAAAGTAAGGAAATGGACTCAGAGGAATCAAGCAACTGGCACAGGGCCACACAGCCCTATGAGGCTGTCCTGAGACTCACACCTTGGACATGCTGGACTACAGACAGGAAGAGCCCCCATCCCTCCAGGGGGCGGGGCTGACACTTCATCCTCCAGCTACTTTGTGAATTGACCTCGAATTGACTCTGCGCTCCACACAGCCCTGCCTCAGGCCCAAGCTGAAAACATCATTCTTGCATTCCACAGATATTTACCAAGGACCTAACATGAGCCAGGCCCAAGGCAGAGAGGCCGTGGGAGGCCGTGGGAGTCCCAAAAGGGACAACGGCTCAGAATTTAGTCCTGCTTCTGCCATTTTCTAGCTGTGGAACTCTCAGCCACAGGTGGGCTCCGCCTCTGGTAAAAGCTTCCGTTCCGGTACAGGAGAAAAGACCTCTTGTCTGGCTTCATCT